TCACTCAGATGTGTGGGTTCTTGATTCAGGGGCATCTTATCATATGTGTTCACGTAGGAAGTGGTTTATAAACTACACGTAGGTTGATGGAGGTGTTACTATGGCCATCAACGAAGTCTGCAAAACAGTTGGTATAGGGTCCATCAAATTTGGGACACATGACAGTTACTTTTGTAAGTTGAACAATGTTAGGCATATTCCACTGGTAACGAGGAATCTGATTTCACTTAGTCTTCTAGATAGAAAAGGGTTTAGTCTCAAAGGTGAAGTTGAGGGTTGTATGTCTATAGGGTTTCATCGGTAGTTCTGAAGGGTATTAAATGGGAGACAATGTATGTGTTTCAAGGGTCTACGTCATCTGGTTCTGAGTCCGGTGTTGTCACATCGTCTATTTGTGGAAGTAGTGGTCCATGTTAGGAAAAGATCATTTAACATTGATAGTCTTCATTATCAAAATCAGGTCAGCCTAGTTTGGCTCTTGGTTGGCATGTAAGCTTTGGGAAATCTCCCCAAAGGCACGGTCAGGAAGACAAGGTGTTGGAGAGGTGGATAAATCTGAGCTGTCCAAGGAAGGTGTTCCTCGTGCTAGGAAGAAGCATTGGTAAGCTATATGTTCAAATTTGGTTTCGCAAAGTAAGTCCCAAGGTTGTTTGGAGTTAAAATTTATTCAAAGCTGTTAGTTGCCCTTTGGGCAAATCAGGTTTGGTGCCCGATGAGGCAAATCTGGTGCCCAGGGGAAGCAAATCTAAGCAAGGATAGTGTGTTTTTGGTTATCTGTTTTTTCTGTTATATCTGTATGTTCTGAAACATTTGGAGTTGTGTTTCAATGCATGTGGTACATCCTTTCATTCTAGTACATCCGTCCATTCTGGTACGTACATCTAGATTTGTGATAAATGCATCTGGTACATTAATTTTATTGTAACGGGATTCAAGTCAAGGTGAATATTTGTAAGGAATGTGCCTTGAATCGATATCCTTGAGTCACGTCCATGCCTTTGGGAGGCATGGATGTGCCTCGATGAAGGAGTGCTAAAGATTGACTAGGCACGTTTGTGCGTCAACGAGTCTTCAAAGGTATTCAGCAAGGCACGTCCGTGCCTTAATGTAATTCCTATGAGGCACGTACGTGCCAAAAAAAGGCAAGTCTATAAACCTAACCTAACCTAGAATGAGTCTAAGGCAAGCATAGGGTCGTATCATAGGGAACAAGTAAACTCCACTAATTGCTACAGACTACCAAGCTAGCCCGAGATAGGAGATTAAGTGAACTAAAGGACTAAAGTCTAGAAGGAACTAGAACAAGAAATATAGACAAATCACTATCAAGACAAGTAAAGCACCAGGGGAAATGGTTTAGGTGTAGCTTCTCGCTCAAGCATGATTAAGGCATAGGAATTGAATTAGGATGTGAACTAAGTATCTCATGTTCAATGATTCGAAGCACAATCTGTAATACCTAAAAATTTCCCTATTTAAATACTCATATTACTCTAAATAAAACCCTTTTTAGGAAATAACCAAAATATTACTGCCACTGTGATAACGGCTAAATCTATTTTTCAAAGTTACACAACGGAAGACTAAAAATAAAAACCAACTTTCAAAATAAAACTTGAGTTCACAACCTCAAAACAAAAGTAAAATAAATCGTTCACATGTTGGAACCAATTCAAATATGGCCCTTTAAAAAACCAACTTAAAAATAAACATAACAAAGTTAGTCCATAAACAATAAACCAATAATTCAAAATATAAAACTAAGAAAGCATAATAAGTAACTCTCTGCACTCATTCCCTTCATGATCTTCATGCTTCAAGTACCTATCACTTTCTCTTTATTTCAACCCCTCTACTCACCATATAAATAGGTCATAGTAGGGCCAATCCAAAGGAAAGCTAAACACAAACACAAAATTACGAATCAGTAAAAGCTGAATACATATGTACCACACTAACATGAATATCCTAACATCAATAAAAATAATTAAAACATGCTCTCCATACAATCACAAGTCAACTTACCTTTGACTCATAACTAACAATATTAATTATTAAATAATAATTTTGGATTACGTATCGAACGAGTTTCCTTCCTTAAAAATAGCCCATTGAATATTGAGCTTCCAATTAGGGAGCTACACCAATTGGCACCTACTATGTCCCTTGTGACGGAATTCTAGCTTATTAATAATAAAAGAAAGTACAGCGTCTTGTACCCTTGTAGAAGCTATGATAAAATATAAAGTCACATAACTCCCCCCATGCGTTTATACTCAAGATGTATATGTTCCAAGAGTTTTGGTGCGTATCCTCTTACACTTTACGTGATTTACCAATTTAACTTGTGATGACTCTAAACAATCAATCAAGAACAAACATAATAACAATCAACACATGCTTCCAATTCATTCTTAAATTAATTAGTGAGCACATACTATTTATTTTAATTAAAGTTCCTTGCCTAGTTTTGTGCACAAAATTGCACGATTACTACCTTGGTGCATAAAATACGCTACTAAACTTCCTTGACTCAAACTCAACTTACATGATTGAGTAATAAATAAACTACTTTCTTGAGTCAACTCCAATAATATATGGGTGAGAAATAAATTCATGAATCATGCTCAATAATTCTAACTTTAGCCTTTTTAAACATACATAAGCCTTGCTTATTAAATTCATGCTTACTTGATACTTGAAAATAAAACATACTTCCATGATTCATGCATATTCAACATGTATCATGCCTCAAATAACATATTCACATGCTTGCATAATAATTCATGCTCAACCAAACATTAATTCCAAGCATATAATCAACCAAATATGCTACTAATACATCACTTAAATCATACTTTATAATCCTAGCATGATACTATGCATACACAAATATTCTTGTGTGCATACGTACCTTAAATAGTGCCTAAACTTGGCCACACTCGCTAGAAATCACCTAGCTCAAAGCTTCCTACAAATAAGAATACATAACTATAATTAATCCACTATTCTCACAAATTTCCAGCAACTATAATACTCTTTAAACTTTACTAATTAACCCAATTTAATGGTATAAAAGCCATCAAACCTTTTATTCTTTAAGTGGGTACTTTAAATCCTTTCAAAAAGACTTAGTTTTTATGACTTAAATAAAATTCCAAAGTACTTATTTAATATAAAACATCACTAATAGACTAGGAAATCATATTTAAATCGTTAAAATCGTTTTCCCTTTTATGGGTAATCAATTTCTAACACAATAATTAAAAAGTAGTGTGTATAAAAAAATTCTAGCATTAAATTGAGGGCTTTAAACTCATTAGAAACATGTTTAAACCATTAATTTAACAATCACAACAACTTAGGATCAAATCCTAACCATAAACATTAAATTCTCAAGTTCAAGGGTTTATAAATTGGGGATTTTGATTAAATTAAAATCTGAAATTTTTAGGAATACTTTAACAACATTGAATACCTAAAATCAATACCAAAACATAACCAAAATCATGCTTTAAATTAATATAACAACTAGAGTTAAATTATGAGAAGGAATGAGTATTTTTTTTGTACATACTACCAAACCGAAAAGAGGGAAGGAGGAGAAAGAGAACGGGTGGCCGGCTGGTTGTCGCCGGCTGATGCTGCTGGCCGCCGGTGGTCGGTGGTGGCGCCGGTGAGAGAGAGGCGTGGAAAGGCGAAGAAAAGAGAGGAAAAAGGAAAGAGAAAATAGGAGGAAAACTTTTGGGGTTTTTGTGAAATCTGACAATTATGATTTTAGGGTGTAAAATTCTTTAGGTTCTAAAGAATTTAACTCCTCTTTTAAAACAAAAACACTTATTTACAAAACTGCCATTACTAATCCTACTCCTCCTTAACTTCTCCTTTGGGGCCAACTTGTTGGGCTCTTAATTGCTTTTGAATTCCCAACAAGTTGATCCATCAATTTAATTGATGTTGACCCAATTTAAGAACACTTTATATTCTCAATTAATGACTCATATTATTTTATACTCACTTACTTAATATTTAAATAATTAATTCTTTAAAAATGAAATGAATCATTTTAATTTATAAATAAAATAAATTATATATGTATATAAAAATATTATAAAAATACCGAGTATTACACAATCTAGCTACCTATTGGAGCTAATTGAATTCTTAATTCAAGCATAAACTTCTACTATTGTCATAATTAAGCTCATGTGAATAAAGGTACAATTCAAACAAATCATTCAATGTCAATTCGTAGACTACACTATCATCATAATCTAGTTCAATCCACCCAATTACAACAATTGATTGGCCACTCAAATGAAATCATTGGTAGAACATGGAAAATAAAGCATTTTAATCACAATTAAATCAACTCCAAACCCTAAACATTCTCAAGGTTACACTACACCACCACTAGTCCCTTAGCTAGAGAATTATTCACTAATCATGCTAACCACAAGGTTAATTATCAAATTAACAAGCATCAACATAATTAACAAGAAAAACTAACAACTAAAGCAATCAACTAAACAATAATCAAAAGCATGTTTAGGGTTTGGAATTGATTACAATAAATCAACTCCAACCCTAAACATGCTCAAGGTTACACTACACCACCACCAGCCCCTTAGCTAGAGAATTACTCACTAATCATGCTAACAACAAGGTTAATCATCAAATTAACAAGAATCAACATGATTAACAAGAAAAACTAGCAACTAAAGCAATTAACTAAACAATAATCAAAAGCATGAAACAAAATAGAGAAGAAAAGGTAAGAAATTGCTCATTGCTTGATGATGGAAGGCTCCAATACAAGTGTTGCTCTTGAATCTTCAACAACCAAAATCTACCATTGATTTCCTCATTTTCACCCTCTAAAGCTACTTCATCCTAAAACTAACCCTAAAAACTATAAAGAGAGAGCTAAAAAAAATATATCTAATCAAGCTTCAATAATATAAGTTACCCTCTATAAAAATTAAAAATATATCCTAAAACTAACATGCCCATTGCACAAAGCTACCTTTCGCATCAAGTAGCGTGATGAAGTCATATTCCTCTCTAGGCACCGGTAGTGGCAAGTCCTCAAACCCAGGTACTATGGAATTGATGCCGACGGAGATGTAGTGGGTATTAGTATTAGACTTGAAATGGACCTTGTCAAACGGTTGTGCGCTACCATACCCCACCAACTCACCATCCATGTTTTTCTCGGGGTGAAGTAGCTCACAAGGCGTCTCTTCCTACACATTTAATTAGGACAAGTTGTGAACTAATTAACCAGCGTCAGCATAATACAAGGACATTTCATTGAGACTTGAAATTTACCTGAACATCTGGAAAAGGATCAGGTGTCTGGTTTGCAATCCCCCTTAAGTCTGCATGCGTAGGATTAGGAATCTGCAATAGTTTAAAATAATTATGCTACATAAGGCCTCGTTTGATGATATGGAGTTCATGATCTCAATTGTAATTCAAGTACCTCGCTCTCAACAAGTGGATCGTCCCCGGCATCTTTTGGGTGACTACATGAGTCCACTGGGGTTATCGGGGGCATAGACAAGGTTGGAAAGTTCATGTGCTTCAAAATGGCATTGAATTGACTTTGCAATTGTTCTTGCACCTCTTTGCGTATCTCCGCCTTTATTGATTCCTTTTCCTTGGCATCCATATGGTATGGCGAATTAACACTTGATCTAGTGTATTCTGAACCCATAACCTTTTCCCACCCTAGTTGTTTGCCGCCAGCTCCAATTACTCACCCGGGGTGGTATGGTTTTCCCAAAGCCAAGGTAAAAGGATCGTTCTCAATGCTTGGAATGAGCTTTCCTTCAACCACTTCTGACGTATGCTCGAGCTGCAACAACATAAAAAATTTGGTTAATTCTAAGTTAGATGTAGTTTCTATCGAAATATTTAATAATAACATTGAAATATTATCATAAATGTCATAGCTTAGGGTGCTTACAAGTGCATCTGCTACTGTTTTGGTATCCGGGTGCATGACGTACTTCCCGGTGTTCTTGTCGATCCCATGCATAGCACACCACCAGTCATTGGCACGACTCACCAAAGATGTTACCGTGGAGGGAATCGGTGTATCAGGTGAAGATATTTTGGATGCGGGGTACAAACCCTCTTTGATCCACTTTTGTCAACTTTCCGCAAATGTCTTACAACCCATATGATGGTTATACATTTTCTTCTCAGCATTGCGCGTAGCTTGTTGACTTCTTTCCTACACATTAGCAATTCTTCGCATCATTATATGAAGTGAGCAAATTTGAGGAAACAACTGTAATTTATATAAGATTACATACAAGTGCAGTAGTAGTTGTTGATTTTGCCACGAACTTCTCCCAGTCCTTCACCGTTATTTGTGGATATACATCCCACGGTTTCTTCTCAAGTTCCTCCTCTCTTGCATTACCCATCAAAGTTTTCTCGGTTTATGCCTTTGTTTCTTATGGATCCATCTTGTTCTTAACGAACTTTTGAAGTTTTTGAATCTCTCTTGTACAAAACCTTCAAACGATCTCCTCTTGTCTGGCTCATCGGGAATATTAAACACACTCTGTAAGAATGGCAAACTTCCATGTTAGTCAAGGGAAAAAATTGAAAAAAAAAATTGGAGAAAAAAGTTGGCAAAAAAAAAAACGAAAAACTGCACAGCCGGCCCTGGCAGGATGCACAGCCAGCTTAGGCGGCTGCATAGCCAGCCCTAGCATGTTGCACAGACAAGTAGGCAGTCTGCACACGACTATGTAGGCACGAAGTTGGGTTATTTTCAATGATTTTGGCTCGAAGTTTTATGAACAAAACTGAAATACAAAACACTTACCATTGTATCATCCCAAAACATTTGAAGCAACCCTTTTGGAATCTCTGCCCAATCAAATGTGATCAGTATTTTACGAGTTAGTATGTCAATGTGTGTTGAATATTTGTTGCGCCATTGCCCAGTAGGTTGACCCAACTCGTCAAACTCAAGAACCATGTGTTCCCCGGGTTTCTTAAATGCTTTTGTTGGACCCCTAACCTTTCTCTTCCTCGGTGCCTTTCCACCATTGTTGTTTTTCACTTGACGTTGCATGTGCATTTTTCCGTTTGAATCTCGTTCAAACTCGGAGACAATACCATCCACAATAGGAGGGGCAGATTCAGCTGCCATCTCATAAGCATCAAGCCTACGCTGCAACTCATCATGAGCTTGGTCTTCTGGTTCGCCCAAATCTTGCTCCTTATTGACATCATACAACTCGTCACCAGATTGAGAACTACCACGGTCTTCATCATCCATATCCTCTTCGTGGTGAATGTATGCATCACGACCCATTTAATGAACACACCTACCACCACAAGCAACGCAAATAATTAGTCATTAGTAAGACAAGAAAATTGAGATAAAGGTAATGATTTCATGCTAATACAAGAATATGGGAGCGAAATATGTTGAAAATGGCAAAAATGAGCTTCTACCATTCCCAACTTCTTCATTTTCATTCCTAGTTCACATCTAATCCTTTCTAACAACTCACATTAGGTATAAAAAACATGTTTACAAGCTGAAAATGCGATAAAGGTAATGATTTCATGCTAATACAAGAATATGGGAGCGAAATATGTTGAAAATGGCAAAAATGAGCTTCTACCATTCCCAACTTCTTCATTTTCATTCCTAGTTCACATCTAATCCTTTCTAACAACTCACATTAGGTATAAAAAACATGTTTACAAGCTGAAAATGCAATAAAGGTAATCATTTCATGCTAATACAAGAATATGGGAGCGAAATATGTTGAAAATGGCAAAAATGAGCTTCTACCATTCCCAACTTCTTCATTTTCATTCCTAGTTCACATCTAATCCTTTCTAACAACTCACATTAGGTATAAAAATACATGTTTACAAGCTGAAAATGCGATAAAAAACATGTTTACAGTCCCAACCGGGGACTATTCAAGACTTCCTCCTAATGAGAAAGACTCGAACGGGTATCTAGGCAAATGATGATGCAAGCATTCAATAATTTGCATTTGTTTGACATTTAACAAAACACAAGTTCATTCATTCATATAATGCTAATTGGACTACCTACAAGCAAACTAAGCTTACTTACAATCCATTCATTAATTCATCACTTTTTAGCTACTCAAATTCAAACAACTTATAACATTATACAATAAAGGTAACAATTAACATATTGTATACAAATAATTAATAAAATAATTAACATAAATTTGATTAACTAAAATTGAAACCCTAAAATTTGGGAAATTGTTAACAATATATAGATAATGAAGTAAAATAAAGCATGAACTCACCTTAAAAGAAAGAATGTGGGGTGAGAGGGAGAGGTGTGGTGGCCTGGTGGTGCGTGTGAAGGTGAGAGGGGCAGCACGCAGAGGGTCGCAGCAACGGAGGCAGCAGGGGCAGCACGCAGCAGCACGACGGAGGGCGACTATGGTGGAGGCGACGACGATGCAGCAGCAGCACCCTATGGTGGTTGTGGTGGTCGGAGCAGGAGAAGCAATCCCTATTCCTAACAACACTAAACCGTGAAGCGCGACAATGGTGCAAGCACTCAATGAACGAATTGAAGGTTGTTGTTGTGGTGGGTATTAGAAGCACGACAATGGTGGTTGTGGGCTACTGTGTGACGATGTGTGAAAGTGAAAGAGGAAGCGAATTGAAGGAGGGAATGAAAGCAGCAGGAAGGAATAGATGAAGGAGGGAATGAACAAAATAACGAGGGAAGGAAGAAAGTTTAAAAGCTAGTTTTTTTTTAAAAAAAAAAAAAGAGAAGCGGTTTGAACCGCTTCTAATTACTTTTAAGAAGCGGTTCAACCCAAACCGCTTCCAATTCTCCTCTTTTTTTTTCTCGGGTTTTTGTATGGAATTGGAAGCGGATTCCAATAACCGCTTCCAATTAGTGGCTTCTAATTACCTATTTTCTACTAGTGCATGAACATGATTGTAGGCATAACCCTATAATTCACTTCATAATAAAAAAGAATGACCAAATGAGCAAGCAAAACAAACAATTCGAACTCAAATTAGAAGAAAAATGCAAAGCACAAACTTGAATAAAGACATGCTCATACAAAATGCAATACTTAGCCATTTTTCATGAAATTTGTTGCAAAACACTCCATAAACATAGCGTAACAATTTGGAACAACAATTTCAAGAATAGTGGACTGAAACGAAAACCCCCAAATTTGAAATTTAGGGTTCTTCGGTTCGATTTTTCCCAATTTTGGCCAAAAAAGGAGTTAAGACAACAAAACACTTACATTGGGTTTTGAAAAATGAGAAAATGGAGAAAGATATACTTCCTTGAGCTTCGAAAAACAAAGAAAAACGAGCTTTGTAGAGAGAGGAAGAGTCGAAAATGGCGAAAAGAGGAAGGAGAGAGAGCGGACTGAAATTGCGCTCTTCGATCCTCTTTTTACTGATTTAAATGCCACGCGCAACTATCCAAGTTGCGCGTGACATACCAGCACAACTCAGAAACTCGCGCGCGCCTGGCCAGCATGACCCACTGAGTTGCACGCGGATACAGGTCATTTAAAAGACCGGTATCCGGATTTTGATCTATTTTGAATTTTTTCTAACAGTTTCGTGTGTTGTCAGGCGTAATAACACGCGAACCATCAAAATCCTTTTAAATTTCTTTGCATTTTGTAGTTTATTTTCTTCTTTGATAGTCTTTTGCATCATCCTGCATGCACACCGTGCTTTGTGCCTATCCCAAGCATACGTTTTGGATGTTTGTCGTGAAGCGTCTTAAAATATTCTGTAGTGGTGGTTTATGCAAAATCTCCCATAGACAGTTTGGCATTTTCCTGTACTGCCCTTTTAGAAATGTCACGTTTTTCGTATTTTTGGCGTCCATAAAAAAATACAGCGTAAAATTGCATGGCGTATGTGCTGCGTAAAATTGCACTAGCAACATGATTTCCCTCATGTTCAAAAACGGTAGAACTTCTATTTCTGTCATTAGGCGTTAGCTTAAATGAATCGACAAGCACGCCGAACCATCGGGGTCAAACACCCCCCGTTGGAGGCAAATACGGTTAGCTAGGAAGCACTCTAACTTACAAGGTTGCGCGTGTTACCGAGCGCAACCTCCAGTGGTGCGCTTGCGGAAGATTCAGAATTTCATGAATATACTGAATCAAATCTTACCATAAAGCCACGCGCAAGACCATAGGTTGCGTTACCCTAATCAGTGCAACTTAATCACTTGCGCGCAGCAGCCGCGCGCGACCCATTACGATGGGCGAGCCACCTACTACGGCAGAATGTTCAAAACCCTAAACTCACCCATTCCCTATAAATAGAGGTTCAATACGAGCTTTGAAAGACACAGAAATTAACCTAAAAAATCAACAGAAACTTTGTGAACTTATGCACTAATCATCCCTCTTGTCCTAAACACTCACCTTTGATTGTTTGTTCTTACGGTGGAGGTTCCCGAACAAGAAGGAGTCCATAAGTGTTCTAAACGAAGATTTAGCAAGGAAAAGTGATAAATTCTCGAGCACTTAGATGAATCACTTTTCTTTTCTCGCTTAAACAACCTTTAATCAATTAATTAATGTTGTTTGATCACTTTAAATAAACTTTAATTAACTAATTTCACATAGTATTCTTGCGTTAACCAAGACTAGAATTTGAATAATTAATTGATTTGTTTTATCACCTAAGCCAAGGCGAATCTTGTTTATT